CATGCTGGATTCAGAATGTTCCGTCTAACTAGATAATTTCCCCTTAGCTCTTTGGGTGAATTCCAAAGTTCTGATATAGTTAGTGAATTATTATATGTCCAGAAACACTGGATCTTAGATTCCATATAAGACCCTGTTGCAATCTTTTAAGCAAGTAAGCACTTTCTAACTCACCTACATTTAATTTTTTCTCCCAGAAAGTTTTCCTTTACAGATAGACTAATGACTGGGTTTTGTTAAAAAATAAAATTATGATGACCAGTATGTAACTAAATAATAAAATATTTTAATTAAAATCAAAGTTTATAGTTAGAACTTATTACCTATTTCAATAAGAAAAAAAATTGCTCTGACTATATCTTCATAGACCTGTTTTCCATAAATTAATAAACCATTTGTATACTGGCAATTCAAACCAAGCAAGTAAGTTTATTTTTAAAAAATATATTTTTTCTTATTGATTTCAGAGAGGAAGGGAGAGGGAGAGACAGAAACATCAATGATGAGAGAGAATCATCATTGGCTGCCTCCTGCATGCCCCACACTGGGGATTGAGCCCGCAACCTGGGCATGTGCCCTGACCGGGAATCGAACCATGACCTCCTGGTTCTTAGGTCAACGCTCAACCACTGAGCCATGCCGGCTGTCCGGGCAAGCAAGTATGTTTCTTTATTTTTATTATTCAATACACATAATAAAAATATTATAATTAAAAGAATTCACCTTGTATGAGTCAGTGTAATAAGGTAGAAAGTATATTCTATTAAGGGTCAAGAAACCTAATGTCTAGTCTTCATTCTGTAATTACCTGCTGATATGACTTCTGGCAAATCACATAAGCTTCAGGGGCCTTGGTTTTTTGTCTATAAAGTGAGGAATTGGTCACCTCATCTAACACTAGTAATCTATAGCTTTATTTCATAAATTATTGCTAAAATACTTGAGGGATCAAGTTAACTGGAAACAAAGTCAAGTCTGAATTAAGTAATATTAAACTAGTTTCCCTTTCGCTTTTTATGACAATGTGTGACCAACCTATAATCTAAAAAATTACCTGTAAGTAGTTCTTGATAGTTATTAGTTTCTCATTGTATTATAATCAATGTCTTATTATAATTCTATACAATATAATTAAAATGCGCAAGGTAAATTTTAGCTTTTGTTTCAATGTAAGCCACAACTTGCACTGTATATTCTCCAATAAATACCTACCAACCAACTAACCAACCCCCACCCCCTCAAAAAAAAAGAAAAGAGCAGACCAATAGTTCTTAATGAGGGAAGGTAGGGGACGGTGGGGGTAAGGGGGAGAGATCAACCAAAGGAGTTATATGCAAGCATATAGGCCTAACCAATGGACACAGACAAAAGGGGGGTGAGGGCATGAGTGGGGGGAATAAGGACACATATGTAATAACTAAATCAATAAAAAAAAATGGTAATTTGATCTGTTCTCATTGCAGTGAGGACTCAGAGTTCATGTGAACTCGACTGCTTAAAAAATTACTGCTTTCATGTTTTACAAATTTATAGATGGTCTATTAAAAGCACACTCTATTGGCAGTAATACAGTCAGTAACAGACTCTACAGAGAGCCCAAACAAACGAATACTACTAATTTGTATGTGCTGAAAACACAACTCACAAAAGCTGCTTGTGGATACTAGTTATACCATTAATACATTAAGGACGTAAGATAAAACAGTGTAAATTAAGCCTCAAAAGAGGAAAAGAAAAATGTTAAAAAACTTAGCCACACAGTTTTAAAACCAACATTGGCATTTTATTCTTTAAGAAATTAAGGAGCCCTAACCGGTTTGGCTCAGTGGATAGAGCGTCGGCCTGCGGACTCAAGGGTCCCAGGTTCGATTCTGGCCAAGGGCATGTACCTTGGTTGCGGGCACATCCCCAGTAGGGGGTGTGCAGGAGGCAGCTGATCGATGTTTCTCTCTCATTGAGGTTTCTAACTCTCTATCCCTCTCCCTTCTTCTCTGTAAAAAAAAAAAAAAAAATCAATAAAATATATTTAAAAAAAAAGAAATTAAGGAAAGGAATTTTTAAGAAACTTAAAAAAAAGACAATCTTGTCACTTTAAATTTCAATATACTTAACTTTGCAAAGTTCTATAGATCTAGAAATTTAAGTATTTTATATTAATTAAAAAGATGACCATTTAAAATATCATTCTATTCAAAAGCTAAAAATTAATATAAATGAGAGTAACTATCAAAAGTAGCTAATATAATACCATGCCAAAAGTACTTTGTTCAGAGACTTGGCTAGCATGTCCATTAAGAGAAGACTGCCAACTTCATAGAAAAACTGGCAGCTATGCCTGTTCAAATTTTGTTTGTTTTAAAGTGTCCTCAAAAAATAAAAATAAAAAAGGTCCATAAAGTGAAAAAAAAGTGTTCTCTTTCAAAATAATTAAATAAAGGCAGTTCTCCAGAAAAAAATATTTGATTGTAGTTCTGCAACTACTTATTAATAATTATGTTAGGTCTGTGAAATACAGCAGTTTAAAGAAAATTTTTAGCATTAACAATTATAAGTTCTGTGAAATACAGCATGCAACTTAAATAAATAAAATTTTAATCATTAACAATTGAGTTTTATAGAAGCAATTACATTACAAATTTTGGAATCAAATGTCTTCCAGTTCAAATACCACTGAGTTATGATAATAAACACTTGTAAGTCTTCAGCATTTGCAATTTATATTTCTCTATAGGAAAAGATAGTAAAACTTCTGTCTTAGGAGTTTTACTATTGATTAGGAGAATTAATTTTACTCTAAACAGTATAAGAACTCAAAGGTTTTTAAAATGAAATGGACAATTTAGAAAGCTTAAGCTAAAAAATTCTGTGAATCTTCTAAGACACTTAAAAAATTAGAATGATGTGTCAAAAAGAACAAATTCAACTTTTATAACCTTAAAAATTTCAACCAAATGACTTGTATGCATGAAATAAGCATAACCAATGGACACAGACACTAAGAGGGTGAAGGCATGTGCCGGAGATGGGAGGGAGGCTGGGGGGAGGCCAATAGGGGAAAAAGGAGACATATGTTCTACTATTTGTAATACTTTAAACAATAAAAGAAAAAAAGTAGCAAAGAAATAAGTATTTTGCAACCACAAATTTTGGGTAATTTAATAAAACATCTTTGTAGTTGTATTCTAGATCTTAAAGAGAAGTTAATGAAAAACAACTAAATATGTAAGTTATATTAATTACTGATAATTGTACCTTCTCTCAAAAACAGTTTCATATGTAAAATCCTAGGCAGCTTATTTAAATTTCCTGTGCCTTTACTTATTTCAGCGTCAGTAAAATTAATACACTAATTATAGAAGTTTCTAAGTGAAAAATCAATAGTAAAATTGGAATCCCAGACTAGTCTTCTTTCACTATATTCATCATATTTCAGCCATGGGCTTAGTTTAAAAGCCAAACTGCTTTTAAAATTAGCTTATGGAAAACACTATTATTTTGCCATGAAAAAGGCTAGCAAAAGAACTACCAATTAGAGGACAAATAAAAAATAAAAACAAAACACTGGCTTACTCAACCCAGAGACATGTGGAGATAATGAAACAATTTTATATTTATAAAGTGCTTTAATGTCACTGATAAAAATATTCTAACCTAATTCTACATTTTTGCAAGGTGGCCCTGATAATTTCCAGGACATACAAATAGTTCTGACTGGACATTTAATACATCAAATTGATTAACAATATCAAATACTATTCACCTTTATTACAGTGGATTAATGGATATATTTAAAAGCTTAATTTAACTGGTTCCAAAACTGTTTCTAGAGAGAAGTGAGAACCCACTTATAGGACTTTAAAACTGAAAAAAGATTTCCCCAGAAACACATTTCTAGAGATAAGAATATATTTAAGCAAGAAGTATGGAGATTTAGGTTAACTTCCACTTTCAACTATTTAATAATAATACTTACATTTGATTTAATATATTTTGGTAATAAAAACATTCTCTGAAAATAAGTTTGCATGTATATTTACAAGAGCTTTGACATACAGTATTTCACTTACTCTTTCCAACATATTTTAAGGTAGCTGTTGTCACATTGATTTTTGAGATGAAAAACTGAGGTTCTGAGACCTTAAGGAACTATATAGAGTGAAGGTATAAATCCAAATTCAATGCTCTTTCTACTATACCACACTCTATAGTACTTTACAATTATCAAACCTCCCAGTATGTAGGGAAGTTGAAGGTTGAAGAACATTAGATCATCATTTGTTACTTAACTTTATTAGAAGAAATAAAATTACTTAAAAACGAATCACTATATGTATTCCTTACCTCTTAAACATTATATTTAATTCGGCCTCTAGCAATCTTCGTAGGTGTTTTGGACATGTTTGTCTTTAAAAATTGCCCTGCTAAGGTGAAACTGTTTTCTTCAATAATAGCAGTTGTAAAAAGCAAAACAAACAAAGAAACTGAAAACTTAAATGATTTCCAGGATTGCCAAATTTAGTTAATTTTTAGGAATGGAAATTAAGAAAAAGCAATGTTGTGTATGTTTGTACTGCTAGCACAATTTTGGTGATGGATGTATATTAATATTTTAACTGATTTTATAATCTCAGTAATAGAAAGGAAAAAAAGGCAGAGATGTAAAAAAGTTTCAAGAAAGACCCTAATGATGATGATTTATCACTACTTTTAGTTTTGTTGCTGCCATTTTCTAACTGGGTAAATTTAGCTAAGTGACATTTAGTTTCTCATTTATAACTCTAGTTGTAAAGTTAAAATAATATATGTAAATGTGATAGGAAAAAGTATAAAATTTCGAAGAAATATAAATGGCAGTATTTTCAATAAAAAAAAAAAGAACTCTGATAATGCGGGGGTCTTGTGTTAGTTTGCTTTCTATTTTAGGCACAATGACCAGTGCAGCAGAGAAAATCAGCCTGAAGCAGGAAAATAAAAGTCACAGGCAACTTCTTATTTCTTACCTGCGTACATATGGTATGTGAGCCTCTCTATAAGTTTAATAACAGTTCCTGCTTTGATAATTGGAATTCCAGCCTTGGGCTGCACGTTTTCTTCAAATATTATATTCTCTTCAGAGTCAGGTTCTGCAAATCTATAAACGTCAGCACTAGGGAGCCTCATCTGCTCCTCCTTCTCTTCCTGTAGCATTGTCACATCAAGCATCCTTTCCAGTGTACTCCGGTACTGTAAAGATATCAACGCTGCCATCCAATTGTTTTTCTCTTCAGCTGACTTGGCAGAAAATATAACACTATTTTCATCTTTTAAAATTATTTCAAAAGCATGCTTGTACTCATTGGTGTCATCTTTGTCATTAATTTGTACCTTTCTCATAAAAAACTTTTCTTTAAGACGATATTCTGCATTGCTAGCACCAGGAAGTCTTGGCTGCCCATGATTTGATTTACAGCAAATCATTAAGCCATCAAAGAGAAATATGTGTCTCTCATGTTTGGCTCCTACACGTGTAAGAGTTCCTTCCATTATAAACTCATTGCAACACTGTCCAATGTCTTTTCCCTCCCAACCATCAATATTCTTCTGAATCTCATTCATTTTCTTGATTGCTAGTTGTTTCCCCTTCATTTGCTGACTATAAAACCGACATGCAGATTCACTGGGATAAAGGAAAAAACATTATTAGTACACAGAAAACAGAGAACCTAAAATTCATGTAAATAAAGGGCAATGTAAAGGTATATTTTAAAAAGTTACGTTGGGAAGGTTTTCACTAATTCTAGAAAGATGTTAGTGTTACAAAATTGCACAATTTTGGAAACTGAAGCAACACAATAGAGACATTTCTTTTAGTGCTCTAAAAAGAAAAATGACTATTGACAAAATTCTGCCTTATAAATTCAGCTACAGAATAATTATTTCTACCTTGGCTATAGATATTTAGAATAACAAATATTAGAAAGTAGCCCAATCTAGTGAAAAACAGTAACTTAAGAGGTTTAAAAAATTATTTAGAAATGCTCAAGAAGACCTAAAGTTAAAAAAACATGCACATATTATCATTAGGAAACTGGAAGCAATAGTATCAGAATTAATGCCTCAAATTATATACTCCCTAAAATAAGGGATACCTTGACAGAACAATGATGTTGATATAAATCTATCCAATACATTTGCTCTATCTCTCCTTGAGCTTACCAGTTGACTCTCAGGAGGTCTTGTCTGGGAGTATGCAAGGAAAATGCACAATATGAAAGGTTTTTCAAACAATAACAAATTCTCTTGGCTTTGATGTCACTTCCTCTGAAAGACCAAGCTTGTCACTAAAACTATTTTTTCATTGTTTACTTGAGAAGGGAACTGGGATCTCTGAATTTATACCATAATATTCAAGGTGAAAAAAAGGATTATAAAAAAGCAAAAATATTCACCTAAGTCTTCGTTTTGCAAGACTTTTAGAACATATTTTTTCCATCCCACTCTGAACATTAAGTAAAGCTGTTATTGCTTGTTTCAAACATTCCTTGTCTTCTTGATCTTCACTCTTTTCTTCTAATTGCTGTAAAGTGAAAATGACAAATCTAAGCTAGTAGAACAGTTTGGACTAAATACATAAATAAATAAATAAGCCCATTTCATTTAAGGATAAAGCTAACATTGATTCTTCCTACCACAATAAAATTTTTAAACTTGTGAAAATATAGTAAAAGTCTTTTTCTTCTTTATATATTACTAGCCATATCAACATGCAAGTTTTTCCACATTAAAAAAGAAGAGTAGAAGGAGTGTTAAAAGAATTCACAACCTTGTGACAGGCAGTAATGTGCAGTTTCTCAGATGCATATTACTGAAAAGAAATGAGTGATAAACACTTTTTTTTACTTCATAGGACTTTGAACAGAAGTAGGCACATAGGTGAGCTTTTTTTTTTTTTATTTCAGTGTGGAATTTAGCCTTAGGTTTCTGATTCCAATATTAATGTTGTAGGTAATGGGATGATAAAAAAGATAAATGTACAGAAAAATATGCAATATAATGGAGAGAAACTTGACACAAAATTAAGGATCAAATTTTAACTCTACTTCTGTGTGACCCTGGGGCAAATTAATTGATTTCTTAGCTTCACATTTCTCATCTGTCAGATGAGTTTTTTAGTATTTTAATAAAAAGCCTGCCCTGCTTACTTTATAGGTTTGTTATTAAAAATCAAAGCACTCTGAGATGATCCAAGATGGTGGTGGTGTAGATGGATGTTACAACCACCTACTCCCAGGACCAAATTGGAATTAAAACTAAAATATAGAACAATCAACTTGAACAACCAACTGAAGACTAGCTGAAGAGAAGGCTTATAACCAAGGATTTACAAAAGCCATATTGAGATTGGTAGGGAGGGCAGAGACTGAAGAGGGATATCTCAGCTGCAGAGGTTCCTCCTGAGGAGGTGGGGTCTCCACCCCAAGCTTGGTTCCCCATCCCAGAGCACCAGATCCAGGAAGAGGCACCCACATAACTCCTGGCCATGAAAATCAGAGGGCATTCTGTCTGCCAGGGAGAAACAGGAGTCGTAGAGACACAGGTACCCTCGTAAAGGTCCAACACACAAAATCTCATTTGCAGCCACTTACCCTAGGCTCTGGCTGAGAGAGTGGGAGCAGACTGGAGTCCCATGAGGAGAGACTGGGGTTTGTGGCTCTGGGGAGACAGCTGCCAGGACCTCTGTGCTTAGTCCCTCTCCAACACTAGCAGATGCCATCATTCTTGGGTGGTACTCCCCTCCATATGGTATCAGCCTAGGGCAGTGGTTCTCAACCTTCCTAATGCCGCGACCCTTTAATACAGTTCCTTATGTTGTGGTGACCCCCAATTTCATTGTTACAAATTGAACATAATTAAAGCATAGTGATTAATCACAAAAACAATACGTAATTATATATGTGTTTTCCGATGGTCTTAGGCGACCCCTGTGAAAGGGTCGTTTGACCCCCAAAGGGGTCGCCACCCACAGGTTGAGAACCGCTGGCCTAGGGGAATGCAATAGTCCCACCCTTTGGATTCCCTGTTGCCCCACCCTGCAGAGCTTATGCCCTCCTGAGGAGTCAGCTACCTGGGCTAGGGTAGAGGTATGGACAGGCTCAGGAGATGTCAATGACTGAGTGGTGTAGCTTTGGAGCAGGGGCCATTCCCCCCACTTACTGCTACCCATGAACCTGACTGGTACCTCAAGAAACAAGAAAAATCTCAAATGTTCTAACTTTACACTTAAAGGAACTAGAAAAAGGACAATAAATGAAGCCCAAAGTGAGTAGAAAAAAGGAAATAATAAAGATCAGAGCAGAAATAAATGAAATAGTCTAAAAAACAATACAAAAGAGCAATGAAACCAAGAGTTGGTTGTTTGAAAAGATGAACAGGATTGACAAACTTTTATCTAGTCTCATCAAGAATAAAAGAGAGAGGACCCCAAATAAATAAAATCAGAAATGAAAGATAAGTAACAACTGACTCCACAGAAATACAAAGGATTGTAAGAAAATATTACAAACAATCATAGGCCAACAAATTGGACAATCTGGATGAAATGGTTAAATTTCTAGAAAGATACAATCTTCCAAAACTAAATCAGAAAGAATCAGAGAATATGGATTACAATTAATGAAATTGAAGCAGTAATTAAAAAATCTCCAACAAACAAAAGTCCTGGACTGGATGGCTTCACAGGTGAAATTTATCAAATATTAAAAGAAGAACCAACACCAATCCTTTTCAAACTATTCCAAAAAATTAGAGAGGAGGGAAGACTTCCAAGGTCATTTTACAAGGCCAGCTTTACCCTAATTGCGAAACCAGATAAAGATACTAAAAGAAAGAAAATTATAGGCCAATATCCCCGATGAACATAGATGCTAAAATTCTCAACAAATTATTAACAAACAGGATCCAGCAATACATTAAAAAGATCATATACCATAATCAAGTGGGATTTATTCCAGGGATGCAAGGTTGGTACAATATCCATAAATCAATAAACGTGATATACCACATAAACAAACTGAAGGATAAAACCACATGATCATATCAATATAGAAAAAGCATTTGATAAAATACAGCACCCATTTATGATAAAAACTCTCAGCAAAGTAGGAATAGAGGGGAACATACATGACAAACCCACAGCCAACATCATACTCAATGGGAAAAAAACTAAAAATGTTTCCGTTAAGATCTAGGACAACTCAGGTATGTCCCCTTTCACCACTCTTGTTTAACATAGCACTAGAAGTTTTAGCCACAGGCATAAGACAAGAAGTAAAAATAGAAAGCATATAAATTGGAAAAGAGAAAGTAAAAGTAAACAGAGGTTGTGTTATCTGCTGCACAACACAGAATAAACAAATTTGCAATTTAGTTCAGGAAAACCAACAACACACACACACACACACACACACACACTGAACCCCCCAACCCAAAACCAAAAAAACCAACAATCCTCAACACAACAATATCCAGTTATCTAGCACACATACAAAAAAAGGGGGGGAGGGTAAGTAGCCTATATTCAGGGGAAAAAAGTCAATTTATAGAAATTGACTCCAAATGGGCCCAGAGGTTGGTTGGATTTAGGAAAGACTTCAAAGTGGCTTCTATGATCATGTTCAAAGAATTAAAGGAAAACATGGTCTTATTAAGTGGATAGATAGGGATTATCTGGAAACTATCAAACGAAATCCAAATGGAAATTCTAGAGTAAGTGTAATAACTAACAATTCTATTGACAGATCAATACAAATTACCAAATTCAAGAAAATGAGAAAAAGGGATTTAAGAAAAATGAAGTTTCAGAGACTTGTGGAACAACATAAAGTAGTAGAACCAATATACATAACTGGAGTTCTAAAAGGAGAGGAAATGAGAGAAAAATGGCCAAAATGCAAGAATAATGTAAAAGCAAGTTAAAATCTGAAGTGCAGCAAGGAGTTTGAAACTTTAAGCAGGAAATTAATACTTTAAAATGTAAGGATCTCTCCTTATGAAAATAAAATACCTTTTAAAATAATTTTTTTTATTATTAGAGAGAAAATTACCAAAACTATAAATGCCCCTCACAGCAGTTTAGTTTATTTAAAATTGGAATAGGACAATAATCAGGTATTTACTTATAATAGCCCCTAAATTACACTATTCTATGTTTAACTTTAGATATTCAACATCTGTGGTCAGATACAATACCATTTAGCTCACAGCTTTGAGCTCATCATTTCAGGATAATTTCTAAATTTAGAAAGCCAGTTCAAGGGAATAAAATCAAGACAGACCTCTACTGGGGTTATTTTTATGAGACTCAGAGAGAAGTTATGTTTTCTAAATTTCTTATTGCTGGTATTAACACATCAGCTCATGGACAGTGTAAAAAAAGGTCTTGAGTATATAGCACTTAAACCAGATGCATGCACAACATAAAAAAGTAGGAGAAAAATGGTCTAGAGTAGAAGATGTTTGATATTGTCCAGTTTCCAAAATGGAAAGGCAGCAAACCAAAGCCATTAACACATGCACACAAGGTATTTGTAAAAGGGGACTGCAGAGCATATTTCTTCACAGAGAGTTTTTGGCATACCATGTGAAGGCCATTAGTGGGTGTTTAAAGTAAATGAGGTAGCATGACTCATATTTGCCTTTACCAATTTGTTTTACATAGCATTGAAAAAAAGAGACTACTTTGGGAGGGAAAAAATCTCCTGTGTTTAATATTTCTCAGTTCTTGATCCTAAGTTTTCCACTCACGGCACCTCGCAGTTCTCAGTTTTTATCTGTAATCCTTTCCCATGATTCCCATACTTAAGCATTTGGTGCGTGGGCCAACACTCTAACCAATGATCAATACCGGCCAGGGCTACATCATTAGATACATAAAATATTTAAAAGGTAATTATCTTCGAGCTACACTACTGAATTATAATTTATATATAGTAAGGTTCCCCCTTTCCTAGTTAATTTCAGTATATAACAGGAAAAAAAAGGGGGGAGCAGAATCCTTTCCTTTTAGTCAGTGCTTCTGAAATTGAGTATTTTTGAACTGTGATAACATGGTGAATTTTTATTGGGGTTATACATAGTTCACTGTTTCTAAAGTAAAGATAAACAGTTTTATAGAGATAGTTACAAACTTGAGCTACGAAAATTAGGTAATAAATCTTCCCCATTTGGCCTTATCCCCATACTATCTAAGTCTCTAAATCTGCTGAGGTCTTAAAATGGGTTTCTTGGATGCATAAATAAATCCAATGTTGTTTCCAAATAACCATCAATGTAAACAAAACGTAAGGACACAAGATAAAAAATATCTGATCGTTGCTTTAAAATTCACTATTAAAACTGAAGAAAATATGCCACTTTTTTTGCAGATTCATTTGTATTTGCTTAACTAGAAAAAGAAAATAGATACAGACTAATATCCATGAGTGCTCACATAATAATTGATACACAAGTTGGTAAAAAATTGTATCACAATTGAATACTTTTCTTACCTTTAAAAGTTCAAAATAATGTAGACAGTGGTAAACAGGGGCTAGAAGCAGTCTGGGTAGAACATACTGAACAGCTTCTTTAAAACCTTCGCCTATTGACTAGAAAACAAAGTGATTTAATTTTTTTTAAGTTTAGTTTTCAGATATCATATATCTTGATTTAAAAATAACTATACCTGTAAATAAAGTGCCGCTCCAGGCTTTGATAACTGACTAAGGAAACGATCATGAAAACCAGGTCGTAAAATATCTCGAGCATATGATTCATATGGATCAAATGCCAGTTCCTTAGAAAATAAAGAAGGTAAAACATAAATTATCTTTCTCCAAAGTAGAACATAAAAAAACAAAAAACCCACAATCCATAAACAGAAAAATTAAATTATGGGCACATCTATACCAGCACAATTACATCTTTCCTTTAAAGCCTCCAAACAAGATTACATGGCTATTAATTATAATTTTAACAAAATAAATCTAATATTTTCAAGTAAGACAGTAAATCAATTTATTCTGATGAGTAATAAGAGCCTTATATGTTATGACACCTCATCAACAGATTCTAGAAGAGTATTATCAACAAACATGGTCATAAGAATTGGGAGACTTTGGGTTCTAAAAAACAAGCTTAGCCTAAACACCAAAGAATATAGATATCTACAACTAGATAAACATTTAGATACTGGTGCCAGACATTTATTTTCTCATGGTCATTTCTTAGTGGCAGACTTTTACTTTCATATTCTGTAAGTCAGAGATAACAGTTTATAATCATCTAAAATTCATTGTTACAGTTTTCATAAGACATTTAAACAATTTATTCAAATTATCCAAAAATTTACCATCATCAATCATTAATAAACTAAACAACTGTAATAGTTATGTCTAAAAGATTAGAATATACTGGTTTTGATGATTCCTGAGGAAAAGAGAGTACGTATCTAGATTTTAGCAGGAGGTAGGATCTCCACTCTTTCCCATCCTATGTCATATTCTAGGTAAAAAACCAAAATTATAAAAGAGGTGCTCTAGATTCTAGCAAGAGCTTTCTATGAAGGGTAATTCTAGAAAGAGGAAGGGGACATCTAGTGGAGGCGTGCAGCAAAAGGAAAAGACCAAAAATAAATGACGTTTATGTATTAATTAGCCTTAATGTTATCAGATTCTTTTTTTAAGGAAAGACTGAATAACAACAACACAAGATCAGGAATCAGAAGACTTCAGTTCTGTTCTTTGCGAAATGCAATATGGTATACAAAATTCCAAGTCATCTGAATTCTTGAACTGGCTCCTAGTTCATTTCCCAATTTCAATACTTTCAATTGTTTTCCCACTAAAAATTTCTATAGTAATATAACACTGGAAATTGCAGCCCACCTCATTGTAGATTTTACTGGAATGGAGAGTTTCAATAATAACAACAGAAAGGAGTCAGGTATGAATTAAGTGGATGGGAGAGAGAAAAAAATGTGATCAGATGCTTCTAAATTGTGTATCTTGAACTCTAGACATCATATACAGCAGATAATGTTTGCCCTCTTCCCCTTTCAATACACTTTACTTAGAGAATTTTTATAAGAACTATAAGGCTACAAAGTGTAGTGGCTTACAAGCATGTCTTTAGAGTCATAGAGTCCCAATTTTTTTTAAATATATTTTATTGATTTTTACAGAGAGGAAGGGAGAGAAGTAGAGAGTTAGAAACTTCGAACAGAGAGAAACATCGATCAGCTGCCTCCTGCACACTCCCCACTGGGGAGGTGCCCGCAACCAAGGTACATGCCCTTGACCGGAATCGAACCTGGGACCCTTGAGTCCGAAGACCGACACTCTATCCACTGAGCCAAACCGGCCAGGGCAGAGTTTCAATTTTTATTGCACTACTTTTTAGCTGTGTGACCTTTGACAAACTACTTCCTCTCTCTAAGCTAGCTTCCTCATTGGAAAATGTAGGTAATACCTACTTCAAGGGGTTGTTTTAAGAATTAAATATCATACGCAAATGCTTACAATTGGGTATGCATGTAATAAGCACTAAACAAACAGTACCTAGTATTATCATTCTAAAGTAGCTAATATTAACAGAAAAAAAAAATTGAAAACTAACGGGGAATCCAAGCTCTAATCACATAGGTTTATTCTTAAGGATAAATTTATAGAATGGCAAGCACTTCTAAGGACCCATGTGTAAATTAATAGATGACTTTATGATTAGTTTTCTGGTTTAAATGCAAAACTTATAAAATTCATAAATATTTTAATAATATACATAACTATGTATTATCTGTTAGAACAGTGGTTCTCAACCTTCCTAATGCCGTGACCCTTTATTACAGTTCCTCATGTTGTGGTGACCCCCAATTTCATTGTTACAAATTGAACATAATTAAAGCATAGTGATTAATCACAAAAACAATATGTAATTATATATGTGTTTTCCGATAGTCTTAGGCGACCCCTGTGAGAGGGTCGTTCGACCCCCAAAGGGGTCGCAACCCATAGGTTGAGAACCGCTGTGTTAGAATATTCTAAATGTACAGAAAAGTACAGAGAACAACCTAACATTGCTATCTTCACCATCTAGCTCAGAAAAGCAATATTTTATAATACTGCAGATTAAAACAAAACAAAACACTATAGGTATAACTGATCTCCTGGATTATGTAAAATTGTACCATTTTACATTCCCACCAGCAAGTATAAGGGTTCCAATTTCTCCACATCCTCACCAACACTTATTTTCCTTTAAAAAAAAATTATAGCCATCTTAATGAGTGTGAATTGGTACTTTACAATGGTTTTGTTTTGCATTTCACTAATGACTAATGATGTTAAGCATATTTTCATGTGCTTATTGCTATTGCATATTTTCTTTGGATAAATTCCTATTGAAACCCTTTGTCCATTTTAAAGTTGGGATGTCTTTTTATAAGAGTTCTTTATATACACTGAATACGAGATCTTTATCAGATATATAATTTGTAAACATTTTCTCCCATTTTGTGTGCTATCTTTTCACTCTTGATGGTGTCCTTTGAAGTACAAACATTTTTAAGTCCAAATTACTTATTTTTTCTTGTGCAGCTCACGGGTTTGGTGTCATATACCTAAGAATCCTTTGCTAAGGCCAAAGTCATGAAGACTTAGCCATGCTTTCTTCCAAGAGCTTTATAATTTTAGCTCCTACTTTAGGACTTGGATCTATTTTGAGGTTATGTTTGTATATGGTGTAAGGTAAAGATTTCAACCTCACTCTTTCGTGTTCCTCATAACTTTAGAGTATCATTTTTTGAACAGAAGTTTTAAACTTTCTTTAAAATATATTTATTGATTTCAGAAAGGAAGGGAGAGGGAGAGAGAATCATTGATAGGATGCCTCCTGCATGGCCCCTACTGTGAATCGAGACCACAACTCGGGCATGTGCCCCTGATTGGAATCAAACCTGGGACCCTTCAGTCCCCAGGCCAATGCTCTATCCACTGAGACAAACTGGTGAAGTTATTTATTTATTTATTTTATTCTTTATTGTTTAAAGTATTACATGAGTCTCCTTTTTTTCCCCATTGACCTCTCCCCTACCACCACCTCCCCCAAGCACAAGTCCCCTCACCCTCCTACTGTCTGTGTCCATTGGTTTTGCTCATATGCATGCATACAAGTCCTTTGGTTGATCTCTTACCCCCTCACCCCCCGCCTTCCCTCATAGGTTGTACAGTCTGTTCAATGCTTCTATGTCTCTGGTTCTATTTTTGTTCATCAGTTTATATTGTTCATTATATTCCACAAATGAGTGAGATCATGTGATATTTATCTTTCTCTGACTGGCTTATTTCACTTAGCATAATGCTCTCTAGTTCTATCGATGCTGTTGCAAATGGTAAGAATTCCTTCTTTTTTACAGCAGTGTAAAATTCCATTGTGTAGATGTACCACAGTTTTTTTAATCCACTCATCTGCTGATGGGCACTTAGGCTATTTTCAAATCTTAACCTTTATAAATTGTGCTGCTATGAACATAGGGGTACATATATCCTTTCTGATTGGTGTTTCTGTTTTCTTGGGATACATTCCTAGAAGTGAGATTACTGGGTCAAATGGGAGTTCCATTTTTAATTTTTTGAGGAATCGCCATACAGTTCTCCACAATGGCTGTACCAGTTTGCATTCCCACCAGCAGTGCAAGAGGGTTCCTTTGTCTCCGCATCCTCTCCAGCACTTGTTGTTTGTTGATTTATTGATGATAGCCATCCTGACAGGTGTGAAATGGTACCTCATTGTTGTTTTGATTTGAATCTCTCGACTTGGAGCATGTTTTCACATGTCTTTTGGCCTTCCATATGTCCTCTTTCGAAAAGTGTCTATTTAGGTCCTTTGCCCATTTTTTGATTGGATTGTTTATCTTCCTTTTGTTAAGTTGTATGAGTTCCCTGTAAATTTTGGAGATTAAACCCTTAGGGGAGATAACATTGGCAAATATATTCTCCCAGGCAGTGGGCTTTCTTGTTTTGTTGATGGTTTCTTTTGCTGTGCAGAAGCCTTTTACTTTGATGTAGTCCCGTTTGTTTATTTTCTCCTTAGTTTTTCCATTGCCCTTGGAGCTGTATCGGTAAAGATATTGCTACGACATATGTCTGATATTTTGCTGCCTATGGAGTCTTCTAAGATTTTTATGGTTTCCTGTCTTACGTTTAAGTCCTTTGTCCATTTTGAATTTATTTTTGTGTATGGTGTAAGTTGGTGTTCTAAGGCAGAAGTTTTAAACTTTTAAATCTCTTCTTTAATGGTTTTCACTTTCTATGTGAAAGAAACCCTTCCAATCTCAACATCATAAATATGTTCTATATTTTCTTCTGAACTTCTAAAGTTTTGTTTTTCATTTTTAGATTTTAAATCTATTGATAACTTTTTGTGTATGACATGAACTAAGTAAGAATTTTGTTTCTCTCTATATGGATAACTATAATTCTCCGCCCGCCCCCATTTGTTCTTTGTAACCTATAGGCAGTATTTCTATTTTTTTTTTGGTAATTGTCCTAAATGTTTTCAATATAAAATATAGTTTGTTATCTTTAATTTTTCTAAATTTCAAAGAGAGTTTAAAGTTGTTCAATTTTTCTGTCTTTCTAAATACAAGCCCACTTTACACACTGTATAATTTATTACTTGTGCTTAAAAGTTTAGTTTAACCTTTCCTTTTAAACACACACAGAAAAAAGTTTGGTTTTTAAAATATTCAGAAGTTTATCAAAATTACCAACACATTTCTCAACTTTAGTTCTTGTATTCCTTGACTGCCCTAAGTAGAACTTTCCTTCTTGCTGAAGAACATCGTTCAATACTTCTTCTTTTTTATTTTTTTATTTTATTGATTTTTTTTACAGAGAGGAAGAGGGATAGAGAGTTAGGAACATCGATGAGAGAGAAACATCGATCAGCTGCCTCCTGCACACCCACTACTGGGGATGTGCCCGCAACCAAGCTACATGCCCTTGACTGGAATCGAACCTGGGACCCTTGAGTCTGCAGGCTGACGCTCTATCCACTGAGCCAAACCGGTTACGGCCGTTCAATATTTCTTATAATGAGGGCCTATGGGTAGGAAACTCTCTTGGTCAATGTCTGCTGTTTTTGTTTTTATTTTTAAATTCTTTATTGTTTAAAGTATTACATAAGTCTCCTCTCCCTGCCCCGATTGACCTCTCCCCCGTGTCTGTTTTTATTTGTTTCTCACTTTCCCCCCCTCTGAATTGCTTGCTAAATTGAGGTATAATTTACATAAAGTCCACAGTTAGATGAATTTTTATATGTTTATGCAATCATCTGTATAATCAACACTCAGATAAGGAAAACTTATCTACAACAACTGCTATTCCCAAAGATCTGTTTATATATTTTAAAGAACTTCCTACAAATGCAATTATAGTATTTTGAGTCTTATTTTGTGCAACATTATTGCCTTTAAAAAAACAGTTCATTCTTTTATTATTACCCTATAGCATTTCACTGTGTGAATATATCACAGATTATCCATTATGAATAAACCTGTTACAAACATTGTTGAACATGCCTTTGGTAAATACAGGCATTCTTTTCTTTTTCTATACGCCCAGGAGTGAAACTGCTGGACCATAGAGTACATTGTATTCTTAGCTTCAGTAGATATGTTAAACAGTTTTCCAAAGTAGCTGCAGAATTTACACCCCCTCCACCAGCAATGTAGAGTTCCAACTGTTCCATGGCTTTAAATTGCATTTCCTTGATAATAATGATGTTGAGCACCTTTTGTTCTTTTAGGAAGTACTTGTTCAGGTCTTTTGTCAGGTCTTTTATCTATTTCTGCAAAAACCTAAGTTGCCTATCTTTTAGTTATTGATTTGTAGGAGTTCTTTACATACTCTGGATACGAGTCTTTCATTGGTTATAGATATTACGATATTGTCTCCCAGTCTATAGCTTGCCTTTTCACTCTTTTAATTTTGTCTATTGATGAACAGGTGTTCTTACATTTAATGTAGTCTGGTTTATCAATCTTTTCTTTTATGGTTAGTGTTTTTGTGTCCTGTTTAAAAAATCTTTGCCTATTCCAAGGTCATGAAAATCTCATTTGCTTTTCTAGCTTTACTATTTTAATCTTTGTGCTCACTCTTTTTAAAATTTTATTTTTCAATTACAGTTTACATTCAATATTATTTTGTATTAATTTCAGGTGTATAGCATAGTGGTTAGACAATCATATACTTTACAAACTGGTCTCCCAATATTTCAAGTAACCACTTGACACCAAACATAGTTATGTACTAACTCTTGAATAAAGGTTTAGTTGGGCAGAAAACACTATTTTCCCTTAGTATTTTGAAGATATCACACAACTGATTGCTAGCCTCTTGTTAAAACCTCCTGTCATTCTCAGTGTAGTTTCCCTTTTGCCTCTCACAGTTCATAACATATTCTATTTTTCACTACAATGCTTTTGGCTGTGGTTTTTAAAAAATTTATCCTGTCCAATATTTGGAATTCATTTTTAATCTGGGAACTTGCATCTTCATTTCTGGAAAATTTTCAGTTTTTATCTCTTCAAATATTGCTCCTCTATCATTCTTTGTCTGAAATACCTATTAGATGTATAGTGAAGCCTTTCAATGTACCCTTAATTACTCTTAACTAGCCTTTTATATTCTTATCTTGGTCTCTGTGTGTCACATTCTTAGTGAATTCCTAAATTCATTAATTTCATCCTTGAACTAGATCTGGTAAACGTTATACTACACTATGAGTTTTTATTGCACTGCATGTATATTTAATTCCCAATATCTTTTCATACCTACTTGTTCTTGTTTCCTTCCTGCCTGTTTTGTTTCACAATGTCTTCTTTTATACATGGATCATATGCTTTTATTTATCTAGTTGAGCATCCTAAACTTCCTTTAAATTCTTTGTAATCTATTGTACAAAATTAAATTAATCTGGAATGAATTCATTTTGTAATTGTTGATTTTGTTAGATATCACTCCAAGCATTCAACTTTGTCTTGTAGTTTAGAATTTTGTATTATAGACTTCTTAGGGGGGAGGCTTTAAATTTTTGGTTTCCTTTTTTCTCTCCCATTCCTATATGATCACTCATTCAGACCAGAATCTGCTCTTAAAATGACTTTTCAAAAAGGTCTCAGGCTCTGTAATCATATTGGCTGATTATTGTGGGATACTCTGTTAGGTTTTAAAGTACATTTGTTATAAAGTAGTGTTTCTGTCTCCTCACCTCAGGTCCACAACTTTCTATAAATCCTTATAAGCATCAGGTTGGCAGATTTCCCCAGTATCCTATTACAACCAGGGCCTCGAAGCAAGAAGCCTTGCCCACTTCCATGGAACACATTTAATCCTTATTATTTTTAAGAGCTCAACACCCAGCTATCAGAGCTCACTCCTTGAATGTCTATTCCATTTCTAATCTTGTTTTTGCCTAAAAATTTTGAACTTTTTGTTTTATAACGCCGTGTTATAATAAAATGTATAGATTTTAAAGTGAGAACAAAGCAAGAGCTAGAAATCTCAGAATGAATATCAATGCTAACTTATTAGGACTCACATATATTTCAGCATTTGAAATATCCAAGGAGACTAATCATTTTTCTAACCCCATGATATCTGAATCATTTCACCACTCCTACTCTAAATAACAATGTGTGATTGTCATATATTGAATAGCTTACTGTGTGGAGATGGTTAGCTAAATATTTTAGGTAGGTTATTTTATTTGTCACAAAAATCCAGAGTTCTATTATTATCCTTGTTTTACAAATATAGATATAGAGGTTTAGAGATGTGAAATAAAATGCCCATGGTTACATAAAACTAGTAAGTAGCAGAGTTTAGATGGAACACACTATAGAGGCCAAATTCTATGGCCTCTTCACTGATAGGGCCTTCATCAACTTTTCTTATCCTTGCTGTGTTAAGATAGACAATTGAGTGTCAGCTGTAAATGCCTCCCCGCTATGGGATCTGCGTTTTTTTAATGAACAAGAGACTACTTTTTCTGGGTTCCATAAGAGAAGCAAATGTTAACAATGACCCTCTGAAGGGGCAATAAAGCAGAGTAGATAGCAGTTAATATCTATGACCCTAGCTGGAAACAATAATTAAGATTCCAATTTCAATGAAAAGCAGGACTTTTATGCAGTTTTGTTTTGATGTATAATTAAAGTACTTACCTCTGCTAAGTCTTCAAAACAGCTTCCTACTAGTGGATGGGGACTGCCTTCATCCGTCATTTCTACAGTATCTTCTATATGGCCCAGTAACTTTACACTAAGTTCATGTATATCTACTATACGACTAAATATATTTTCTACATCCTGTTGGGAAGAAAATAACACTGTTAGGTTGTATAATAAAAAACAAGTTTTGAGCCAATAAATCATTTTAAAATCACAAAATTTAAACATGGTATATACAGTGAGAAATTTTAACAACTTACAAATTTAAGTAAAAGATAATGCAAGAATTCCTTTTGAAATAATGTACAATTTTCAAATGCATTTCATTTCTCTAGGTCAGTGGTTCTCAAACATTTTGGTCTCAGAATACACTTACACTCTTAAAAATTATTAAATACTCCAAAGGGCCTTTGTTTATAATTATACCTATTAATATTTACTACATTAGAAATTAAAACCACAGAAATCTAAAAACATTTAAAAATAACAATAAATAGCATTTTTATGAAAACTATATTTTTCCAATACAAAAAAAATTTACCTGAGAAGAATGGCATTGTTTTATGTTTTTGCAAATCTCTAACATCTAGCCTAATAGATGATGATTGAATTTACATATATATATTTCCACATTCAATCTGTTGTGGTACACTGTTTTGTTTAAAGCATATGGAGAATATCTTGCTTTACACAGATATGTAGTAGGAAAAAAAGGAGTATTTTAATAGTTTATTCAAATAATTATGGATATCCTTTTCTTTTTCTGTATAGTTTCTTTGAGTTGTAAGTTATATACCATAAAATTCACCCTTTTAAAAGGATACTTCCACAGTTTTCATATATTCACAGAGCTGTTCAATCATCCCCATTACCAATTCCAAAACATCTTCATCACCCCCAGAAGAAAGCTTGTATCCATTAGCAGCACTCTCCAGGCTTTTCTTCCTCCCAGTTAATGGCAATCCTAATCTACTTTCTGTCTCTATGGATTTGCCTGTTCTGGACATTTCATATGAATGGAATAAATATCATTTTATGATATTACACAAAATTCAATAAATAGTAGTTTCTTAAAGTTAGTTTTGAGGTGGAATCTGAAACCATATCAATTCTGTACTGTTACATTAAAATTCATTGGCCTATTTTGAACTCTGAATGGATCTTTTACCCATGTGTGATTCTGTAGCATTATGAATTTGGTCACTTGGAAAATATGAGTCCATTGAGTTCTGCAGATTTTCCAAACATTAACATATTTTCACTATTCAATATTAAAAGACCAAATCCATTAGCATTATTACAGATCATGGGAGTGGATACAAATTTTCCCAAACTCTAATTAGCTAGAAAGTTCAAATTTTCTCACTGTCAACAAACACTGCCAGTTATTTTCCTTGAAGTAACAGGTATGCTTTATTCATTTTTTTCTCCCCACTTGATTCATTTTTGGAAATGTCTGCCAGATATACATCTGAATAACCATAGTTCATCAATAATTCTTTCATAAAAGTTGTGTTTCATGAAAAAGGCAGCTAAAGCTAATTCAGTTTGCAACTCAAACAGTGCTTTTTCCTCAAGACAACCACCATACTTTGGTATATAGCAGAAGTGCTTTATTCCAGCTTCCTATCTGCCTCAGCTCTTCTCTAACTTGGGCTTTCTTGAAGCATGCCAATAGGCTCTTGTTCTACTAGTAATGATAAAGAATCTATATGAATCCATGTAGCACCCCTTTACTTCACTTATCATTCTACACTTCTATTATCTTATATTACAAATAGATATGCATATAAGAATACTCAATATAACACTCTGTAACTTCCATAAGATTTTCTGTAGGATAGATTCCTGGATAAAGACTTCTGTTACCGGGTTTGTATTTAAAATATCTATGAATATTTTCTTTAAGAGTCCACTAGTTTACCTTTCCATCAGTAGTGTATGGGAGTAACAGTTTTGCCAAACTCTTACAACACTGAATATTGTCAATCTTAATTTTTAGAAAATTGCTTAGATAATTGAAAAACAAGTACTAGTTTGCATTTATTCAATTACTGTTTTTGTATTTGATTAATTTTATCAGTGACTATACTTTTTTGTCAAATCAACTTTGAGGCATGATACATATCCAGTAAGATATACCTATTTGAATTTACTTCCTGATGAGATTTTGTTCTTCACTAGAACTATAACAATAATCAAGATACAAAACACTTTCATTACCATAGGAAGTTTCCTTGTGCCCCACCCCCTTTAATCACTACTACTCCCCCAAGAAATCAGTGATCTGCTTTCTGTCACTATAGATTACAACTGTCTTCCTAGAATATTGAACAAATAGAATTATAAGTAGTCTTTTGTATTTGTATACCCATTCACTTGTTGATGGATATTTGAGTTGTTTCCAATTTGAGACTATTACAAATAAGCTGCTCTGAACATTCATGAACAAGTTTTGTATGGACATGTTTTAATTTCATCTGAGTAAAGACCTAGGAATGGAATTTCTAGGTAGAATGGCTAGTTTATGTCTAATGTGATACAAAACTGCCAAACTCTTTTCCTAAGTATTTACACTGGATTACATTCTCACAAGCAATGTGGGAATTTTATATTCTCATAAGCAGTTGCTCCACATTCTTTTCCACATTTGGTATTGGCAGTCTTTTTAATTTTAGCCTTTCTAATGAGTGTATAGTAGTATCTCATTGTGGTCTTAATTTGCATTTCCTTGATGACTATTGAGGATGAGCATTTTTTGATATCCTTTTTGGTCATTGATCTATCTTCTTTTATAAAGTGTTCAATATTTTTGTCCACTTAAAAATATCAGGCTATTTTTTAAATTATTGAATTGTAAAAGTTTTTTATATTCTGGATACAAGTCCTTTGTTAGATATATGTATTTCAAATAGGTTTTACCAATCTGTGGCTTACCTTTTTATTTTTCAGACAATGTATTTGGAAAAGAAAAAGTTTTTAATTTTAACAAAGTCCAAAATTCATTTTTAATTTTATAGTTCTTGACTTTTGTATCCTAAGAAATCTTACATTTTTTAAACAACTTTATTAAAATATAATTTATATACCATACATTTAGACAATTCAATGGTTTTTACTATATATAGATTTGTACAACTCAAAATTTACTCCTTTGTTTTTTAATGTTTACTCATTGCCATAACTTGAGCCCCAGTCTCAGCCTCTGTAGTGAGCACTGCTTCTTCATCAGTCATCAATAGCAATGTGGCTACAGTTCTAGGAATTACTAAAATAAAACTCTAGGCAATCTCAACTGTTCTCACTCAGCATTCCCTAGGACTCTATGAGATTGGTTTGATCATTATTGTAAGATCAGTAACCTATTCTCTAATTTTTAATGTTTTTGGCTCCCTCCTTTGTGCTCTTCTCCAAAATACTGTTGTTATACTTCTATTAATGGCCCAGTGCACGAATTCGTGCACATTGAAAGGAAATTAATTAGAAGGTGGCTGGCGGGGTGGGACTGGGCGAGATGGGCCGGACAAGTCCTAGAGCCAATCTCCCACGGTCCCTCCCCAGCTGGCCACACCTGGGGTGGCACTGTGGCTCAAAAGGCATCTACAGAGTGAGCGGGGGTCCCTCCGGCAGGTGGGGTCCCTCGGCCTGGCCTGCAGATATCAGCTAAAACTGGCTCTCTGACATCCCCCGAGGGGTCCCAGAGTGCAAGAGGGCACTCTGCAAAGTTGCTGTCATACAGGGTATGGAACACAAACACAAGTGTGCAGTAAACCAGAATCAGGGCGACAGTGCCCCAGCAACAACATAACCCACAGCTGAAGGTGGAATCGTACGGCCCGTGAGGAATCAGGTTCCCTCCTCTCTGGTTTCAGGGTGCGTCACCCGAGAACTGCCGCTGCCAAGTCACTGCAGCTCAGCAGCCCCTGTGTTGAGCATCTGCCCTCTGGTGGTCAGTAAGCGCCATAGTGACCAGTCGGATGAAGGAAGGGACACCTAGCATATCAGCCTTTTATATATATAGATTATGGTAATTACCACATTGTATTGCAATTTAATTTTAAGTTTATATTCTCTGTCTTGACTAGATTAAACTTGAGAGAAGAATTTTTTCCTTATTCATCTTTGAATCCTCATTGCTAAGTATGGCACTTAATATATGCAGCATTGATAAAGTGCTGGTTGAATGACTCAAATGTGTTAAATTAAACAAACAAAAAAATATCTGCTTAAGTAAGAGGTTTTTTCTTTGAAGTACATTAAAGATTCTGTGAATTCATTTCTACTTATATAATCAGTCTAGTTTTCAATTTATAATGTTAAATTTATTGACATGGTTGTAGCAACTTTGTGATCATAGTCACTGTGAATTAAATCCCACAACTTAAAAATGTTTGACAAGTTAGCAATCATGAACTATCAAAATTCAAATTTCATTGGTCATGTAAAATTAACAACACATGCAATGATATACACAATGATACTTACATTAGCTGAAAACAATTTTGAATTGGAGACAAAGGGCTCTCTAAAAACTTTTATAATTAAGTTCAGTTCCCTTATGTATTGCCGAATTTCTGCCATAAATGCCTTTACCAAATCATAGTAAGTCTGCTCCCCTGAGGTGGAAGGTTCTTCATCAGTTAAAGATAATATATTTATATCTTCCACATCTTGATGAAACATATCCATCAACACCTACATAGTCAAAGAGATTTTAAAAAGCATAATAAAATATAAATCTATAGTCAAATTTGAAGTTAAACGGTCTAAATAATTCCTTAAAGACAGTTCTTAAATGACAAAAAAGCAAACACAATTATCTTTTCTTGGAAAAATTGCTACCACCTTAACTCAGTTTCTCTAATACAGAATTTAACATCTGGTATCACAAACTGACTCCCCCAAGTTTTCTAGCAATACTAGTTTCTGTCTGTCTCTCTTGTTAACCTATTATTTTTAATTTGTTCTCAAATCCTATCTTGGATTTCTCTCTTAGTTTTCTTGTTTCATATACTTGCCATCACCACTTCATTTCAGGGCCTCACCACCTCATTTTTCTTTTTTAATATATTTTTATTGATTTCAGAGAGGAAGGGAGAGGGAGAGACAGAAACATCAATGATGAGAGAGAACCACTGATGGGCTGCCTCCTGCATGCCCCCTCCCGGGGATCGAGCCCGCAACCCAGGCATATGCCCTCGACCAGAACTGAATCCGGGACACTTCAGTCCGCAGGCTGACACTCTATCCACTGAGCCAAACTGGCTAGGGCTCACCACCTCATATTCAAATAATTCTTATAGCCTTCTTTGCCTACATTTGTTGGATATTTGTCAAAATAAGTCCTGTTTTTTCTAAGAAGTCTACCATTATAACTCTTGCTGAACCTCACCTTTCCCCTTCCGTGAACTTCTACATCATTATCCCCATAACACAATAAAATATCATCTTCTCTTTGGTGACTTTCTGCTTGTTTCACAAATGTAAGTATCAACTCTGAAACCTTGTTTTATACTTCTCTTGTATCTCCTCCCTGTGTGAGCACGTAGGATATACTCAAAAAGTATTTGTATGGTTCATTTAAAAGTATCAAATATTTTATGTTAATTAAAAAGTAAATACTTTAAAACCAAATATTTATTCATTTAAAAATAAAAAACCTTTGAAATCCTTCATCAGGTCAGGTGATTTTTACTCTATACATTCACATTCTAAAAAAACAAATAAACACTAAAATAAAAGTAAATGGATTTAGTAATCAGAAATAATATTCCAAGTCAGTAACAATATAGTGAGAAAAAAATGGAATGAAATGCTTCATCAGAAAATATTTTCTTTTCCACAAAGTCATTTTTATAAAATGAAAATTCTGAGGTAGTATAGTGCAATGACTAAGAACTTTAGAGTCAGATCTGGGGTTCAAGTCTAGGCTTTGAAACTTCTTGGAATATTCTGGACCAAATTCTTTATGATCTTCAGTTTCCATTTTATACAATAAGATAAGAGCATCTATTGTATAACAGTATCATAAGGACTAAATGAGATGAATCACATATATGCTTAACTTTAAAAAACATTTGCTCTTATTAGAGTAAAATCATACAAATAGTATCTAAAGAAAGCTAGGTATTAAAACTCTTAAAAGTTTAGTATTTTCACATTTTCAAAAATCTTCTAATCCAAATAAAATTTTAAGATATCACTAGTAAGAGATTATTATTAACTCGACTTGAAGCAACACATAAAAGAAAAACTGTATGACATGTTTAAACACATTTTAATACTATATATAATACTCTATTTTCTTAAAGTGATATCTTCAGTACTTGCCATTAGATTACTTTAAATATACCTTAACACAAGATATACAATTTTATTCTGACTGAATAGCATTCAGTAAGTCACATAAATATTTAAGAACAAAACAGAGATCAGTATCCTACCTTATCAGCACACATTGCTACTTTTATATCTTGTTTTGTAATTTCATAATGCTGTATATTTCGTACATAATTCCCCACCAGCTTTAAAATATCTGCAGAAATGTATTCTAATACTGCTACTATGTAAACAGAAACCTGGTGGTCAATTTTATAACCTAGGACCTCCTGAAAAATTAAAAGAAAAGCATGTTTAAAAATCATATACTATAACTTTGATACTGATTTAAAACGTGCATACAATTTAGCTTACCTTTTACTAAGGCCTGTGATTATCAACAACATTTAATTTTAAGTGGCTCATTTATGAATAATATATTAATTGCTACTTGAAAATGTGAGCTAAGAAAAGATAAGACCAAATAACCTATCATCATGTAAAATGCTTAAGAAGTACAGATTACTAAATAGATAATCCATAATCTAAGAAGGGAAGCCCAAATTTGGGGAAATGGGATATGCTCGTTGTAACCTAATTCAGAATACCTGGAAATAACTATGACAAAAGAGGTTTTTTTCTCTATATAGAACAAGAGTTAATATATTATTGGTATATGTGAATGAATATCTATTAGCTTTGTACCTCTATCCTTTCCAAAGGAACCTGGCCTTTCCAAAACCCTGGTATCTGAACTGTTTACATGGAAAACAGTTCATGCTATGTCCTACTGAGCAATAGTGGTTATTAACAGCATGTTAAATAGTCCTATTATTAGACTTTAAAGAGAGCATGGGCTTTGTGGAATTTACCAGTTCCTATAGGAAAACAAATTATATTTTCTAAACAATTCAATTAAGGGGTGGAAAAGCTAACTTTGAAATAAGTTTACTTATGAGTTGGGGACAGGATATGTAAAAACGATTAAATATTTATAGTGGCAAGGATATATTAATAAGTTGAAAGATCCATTAGACCATAAAACTCAAAATTCAGGATTATTAATACAGCATACACATATCTCAACTTGTTAATTCTCTTAGAATGTAATTCAACATATGCATGATAAAAATCATGAAAAGATAATTATAAAGTAGGCAATTACTACTAGTTTAGTAATTTTATATAACTTGCACTTACTTCCTCAGACTATTTAGTAAGATATAGGCAGATAATTCTATTCAAACAATGTGAGTATAAAATATAACCTTTTGACGCTCTTAAACATCACCTAAGTGTTTAGCCTTAAATCGTGGACAGATCAAATAGACCTGGATTTCCTAACTCTTACTTTTAGCCCTGTGAAGTTGGACTATAAGTTACTTAATCATTTTCTACCTCAATTACCTCATCTACAAACTGGGGATAATGACAATAACTTAGCTCAGTAATAAAACTTAAATCATGCATGCAAGCATTAACATTTTGCTTGTATTATAGTATGCACAAAATTATTGGTATCAAATTGTTAAGATTTTAATTTTTATAATATCTATATTTTTGATGTAAGAGTTAAACAATAGTTTCTTCATTGTATTAAAATAGAAATAGCATTATTAGAGTTTGCTGCAGTTCCTCTTTCTATGAGCTCTGGTGAGACTCAGCTGACGGAGTGATTTAAATAAGTAGGACTGGATGACTAGGTGATCTTTAGGGAATGTTTGTTCAAAGAGTACACATAGCCCAATGGCAGTCTCACAGAGGACCCTACCATCCAACGATGTGGAGGACTAAGACCTGAAGGATTTATAGGGACATTCAGGTCAAACCAACAAGAAAGAAGGGTTATAAATTCTCTTTGAGATTCTACTGATTTCTGAGATGAACAAAATCCACAGCTACAACTTTCTTAGTTCTTTCAATTTGCTTGACTATTACTGTTGAAATTACTTTAAATCATATTGTCCAACTTATACATTCCTCTTATCATATCATCCCCTTCACCCCCCATAACATGAATTCCTGGAGAAATTTAAATGAAAAAGAATTACTTTTTTACTTTTCAGTTGACTTTATTCCATAAAATATATTATTCTTAGTGTTTGAAAAGTAGGGGTTTTATTTTGCTTTTGAAAGGCAAAGAAAAAAAAAAGAGACAGTATTTCAGCTTTACCTTTAATAAAGGATGAATTTTTTCTACTGGGAGAGATAAAGGGTTTCTTCGCTTCCTTTTTTCAATAGCTGACTGGGCATCAGCTATTGCCCACTTATCAATTGGATGAGGAAAACTTTTTTGAACACGTTCCTTGGAAAATAGGAAAATAACAACTAAGCAACAAAATATATTAAATAGTGCTCTTCACTTACAATTTACTTTTAAAATCCAAGAATACCAAGAAAGTATTTTCACATGTTGTATACTTATACTACAAACATACTTAAACTATAGCTGTCAACATATTAGTTTCTTAATTAGGCAATAAGGAATGTTTAATTCCTTGTGTAATGGGCAAAAATCACATTCTGAATTTCAATTTCACTATGATAAAGCTAATAACAAGAATGAGTAGAAGCCATTTTAAACATCATTTATATAAAAATTTAAGGAACAAGACCTAAGTTCAAGAAGTAAATATCTAATTCTCATTCATTATCCATACTTTCAATACCAATTACAAGCTCATTTTATACTTGAAACCTCTAAGAATTCTTTTCAATATCCATCATGCAAAGGTATTTGCCTTCAAACCTATTTACAAATCATAGAAATCAAGGGTTTATATTAGTAACAGAAATTTTAATACACTGTAGCTCATCATTAGAGTTTGAATCCTCCATAGGTTATTACTTTTTAACAAAATACTTGATTTTAATTTCCAGCACTTATTCAGTTAGAATTTCCACTGAAAGTGAAAGAACTCATGTTAATGTAAAAGCTGGATCTCCCTACTTTAATAAACTAATGTAATTCACTTCAAGCAAAAAATACTGTCATCCTCCCAAGTTTTTAAAATCACCTTTCAGGATACCATAATTACTAGTAAAACCAGTAGAGGTCGCTATTACATAATTTTAACATGGATTTTTAATCAGTATTTAGTAGTACTACTAGAAAAATAAAACATCACTCCTTATTATAAATCTAAATAAGAAGTTTTTTCAGTTGTTATTAAAATGGAAAATAAAAATAAATTTCCATGTGATGTGGGGCTGGGGGACAGGCAGGTTATTCTAGGACATGTTAAGAATAAATTTATAAATTAAGAATAGTTTAACTCTTTCAAGTTTAATAAACTTTCTTACTATCTATATTCAAGGCTAAATCAGCTGCCAAATATAAGAAGTGATCATTTTAATTCTAATTAATGGAAGCAGTAATGTGTTGAAAGAAATTATTGTGTTAAAAATGGAATTTACATACTTTTTCAAATGTCTAACTGAAAAGCTTTTTGCCAGGATAGTTTATCCTCATATAACACAGGCAAACATAAAGATCCAAAATATTGGGGCAGTTTGGATTGTAAAAAAGGAAGACAAAAGAGAAGGGGAAAGGGTAGGAAGGAACAAAAAAAACAAAAATTATTTTCCTTCCTCAAGTCAACACTATAGAATTGCTATTCCAATAGAACAACTTTACTATGATTCCCAATTAAAATTTTCACATCAATGGTTTTAGTCCATGGTTAATTCAATGGGTATAACCATGGTACAAACCTTATAATAGTATGACCCTATGGCTTGTAACTTTTTTTTTAACCTCAACTCATAGGAAGAAATCATAAATTTTTAATACATTTTATGTTATATCCTTACCCATCACACACACTAAACTGGAACAAAGTTTCATAAAATAAAACTTGTCATTATATGCAGTGAACTAATATTTTCTATCATTAAAAATATGTTAGCTGGGCAATGCACTAAAGTGATTTTATGACCTAGAGTCTAAAAAGCACTCGAATAGAGTGGTGATAGAAGCAGTAGAAGAAAACAGAAGGTGAACTCAATCTGACCATTCGAAAGATACTTGACATGTATCTTTAAAAAAAATCATGGTGGAATCACAGAGGAAATTGTAGCCAGGAATTGGGGTGGAAGAAAAAGAAAATACAACAGCAGTCCCTTTCCATCTCAATTTCATCTACCTAATTCTCAGTGTATCTGTTGTTTTCAAGAAAGAAGAGGAAGAAAATCAGGAAAGACAAAAAAGAATGCAGAAACTGGCTGGTGTGACTCGGTAGGTTGGGCTTTGTCCTATGCAACAGGAAGTTGCAGGTTGTGTGCTTGATTCCCTGGTAGGGGGCGTGCAGGAGGCAGTCGATCATGTAATCTCACAACAATGTTTACTTCTCTCTCTAAAAATCAACAAACTATTTTTTAAAAATAAAAAAAGAATGCAAGAAAGGAGAAATAACAATGATCAAGAACACATTTTAGCCCTAACCGGTTTGACTCAGTGGATACAGCGTCGGCCTGTAGACTGAAAGGTCCCAGGTTCAATTCCGGTCAAGGGCATGTACCTTAGTTGCGGGCACATACCCACTAGGGGGGGTGCAGGAGGCAGCTGACTGATGTTTCTCTCTCATCGATGTTTCTAACTCTCTATCCCTCTCCTTTCCACTCTGTAAAAAAATCAATAAAATATATATATTTTTAAAAAGAACACATTTTAAATTTACTTAGTGTATTACTGGAATAAATTATACAACTATATACTTAGGAACACCAAGGGTCAGAATGTATGGGAAAAAACTGGTAAGGTCAAAAAAGATGCCATGAATGTGGAAAGGCCAAGTTGAAAGAATTACTTTATCTCTTTAGTGACAAGTTTAATTAAAATTTTAGAACAAAATAAAATTTCTTTTCATCATATTTTAATATTTTTTAAAATAAAGAAGCCCAAGGAGAAATAATCAATGAAAGATTCATGAATTAGAATTATATTACTCTGCCACTTTCAAGATTAATAATTTTGTTTGTTTGAAATGAGGAACTCCATCTTGATTAATATCTAGTGGCTTTGAGAAAATAAATAAGACACAGAGGTGGGTTTGAGATACAGTTGTCTCTTATTAGCAGAACCGTGTCTTTTGCTTTACTTAATAAAGGGGTCAAAATAGATAATCTTAAACATCAATTTCAAGACAAATATTCTAGGACATATCAAAACTACACATGCATGTCCATGTAAATATTCAGACCACAGGTATTTTTAAAATCTAATAGTATTAAAGGCTTAGAATGTGTGGGAGATTTTTTTGTCTAGAAAGGTAGAAAATATGGAGAACTTACTTAGGAAATCTAAATGTTAATGGAAAGTATTAGAAAATTACAAGGATTCTTTAGGATTCAAAGAAAAAGAAAAAGTTAAAGAAAAAATGAATGGAAAAGGGAAGCAAACTTTTAAAGTTTTAGGATATGACTCACGGGGGGAAAAACAGTCAAAGATAAGGAATCCAAGAAACCCTGAGTTAAATGAAAAAAAAAAAAAATGTGTCAGTGCCCTAAGAAATGAAAGTTGGTTAAATACAGGACACATAGGTAAACAAGGAAAACAGGAAAGACATTACAAATAAAAATCACTCTAGACAACCAGAGAGAAATAATGAACATGTACCATTATGAAAGAATAAGATCTAAGAAATTATACAAAGAAAATACTTTACCAGGGACTTATCACATAAGAAATAATACTAGTTTTTGCTTTTATTTTTAATAAGATTAAGTATAAAAAATGAGGAGGAGGAGAACAAACCAGATTTGAGCAACTTTTATACACAAATTTTTAAAACAAATTATTTTGAAAAGACAGGGCCAAATAATATATACCCCTCCTCTGCATTCCCAGAGCATTTATAGATACTTCCTATTGATCTGGAACACTGCTCAATCGACAACAGATATTCAGCTATTAGTTTCATGGATTAGTGAATATTGGCTACATCAATGAAACAAATCCCATTCATTTGGACTATGATTTTTCAATTTGTAATGATCTGCAGTACAAATTATCAATACATTTTAATTAGCAAAACTAAAGATATGTATGTAATCCATCAATTTTCAAGTACTTTTAAGTACCTAATTTCCTAAAGCTATAGGGCAACTACAAATCATTTTTAGTTTGTGATTAAAACAAATCCCCTAAGGGCTGAATATTAAGCAAGAACTGTCACTCCACTTTGAATTATGCTTATTCTTTAAAGTAATCAAAATGTATTCTTTAGAAAGATAAAAAATGCATATATTCCACTAACTCGGACTGATCTATTTTTTTAGTACATTTTTATATGGTCCTCAATTTTTTAAAAATTTTGATGAATTCTCCTCTTACCCCAAAATTTATTTGAAAGTCTTGCTAAATTCACAGCCCTTATTACTTTAAAAGCTCCACAAATGTATTTTTAAAATTTTGAAAATGTATTAAAGAAATAAAGAGCCCTGGCCAGGTGGCTAAGTTGGTTGGAGCATCATCCTGTACACCAAAAGGTTGCAGGTTCAATCCCTGTTTGTGGCACATATGGGAAGCAACTGATGTTTCACTCTCACATCGTTGTTTCACTCTCTCTGTCTCAAATCAATGAACATATCCTCAGGTGAGGATATTAAAAAGAAAGAAAGAATTCTAATAAATGAAGAAAATGAAAAATTACTTACTGATAGAAGAATCTAAGATACAATTACGTTCATCTAAATATCTCCATATTCTAATCTAAATACCCTGCCAGGAATGGTAGATAAAGAAGGGTATTTGACTCTTGATTGGAAAAGACCCAGGTTTCCATCTTTAAAAAAAAAAAATCTATTCTACCATTCTGAGGTTAACAGTCTAATATATAAAATAAGGAGAGCCTGGCTGGTGTGCTCCGTAGTTGAGCCTCGACCCGTGAATCAAGAGGTCACAGGTTTGATTTCTGATTAGGGCACATGCCTGGGTTGCAGGCTCGATCCCCAGTAGGGAAGGTGCAGAAGGCAGCGAATTGGTGTTTCTCTTTCATCGAAGTTTCTATTTCTCTATTCTTCTCCCTTCCTCTCTCTCTTTCTTAAAAAAAAAAAAATCAATAAAACATTTAAAAAATAAAATAAGGAGAATAACTACTACTCCACCGGGTTGTTGTAAGGACATAAAAATATATATGGCAGTACTTTGAAATTACGAAGCCTATTATATAACTGACTGCTATTTCTATTACTGTCATATTCTCTTTCAAAAATTCATTCCCAACCCTAAAGCCAGCTCAATGGAATATCACATGGCTACATCTATCTTAAGGGCCAAGATTAAGTGCTTAAAAATCATAAGATAGGATGTAGGGTAAATATCTTTGATATCTCAGAAATTTTCTGAGTACTAAAAAACTATAAAATATCTTTTTTTATTTAGTCTTAAGTACATATTGATTAAATATGTGCAAGTGAAAGACTGAGAGACTCATTAGTATTTCCAAGAAGTCATGATCTCCTTCAATACTAGAAAAGTAATGAATTAGTTTCTAAATTAATTAAAAGGAGGAAATTAAATAAACATAGGTATAGTACAACATATCTGGAAAGAGCTTTTTGAGTCTATGCAATGTTACCAAACTAGCAAAGTCCTGGGATGTACCAACATTGGAATGATAAGCAAGACAAGACCTTTTTTTCCATTTTAATACAGTAGGCATAGGGTTACATGCTGCATTTTATAAACACTGTGGGCGAACCCAACTAGAATCCAAAAGAGCAAATGAAATTGTTAATGAGGAGAGTCAGGTAACCAGTTCTATTCAAGATCTACTCTGAAGCCCACTGTAATCAGTGCCTACAAGAAATTTTGAATAAAAGACATTTGACCTTATAATTCAAAGGGAAAAAGGGATAAAATGTATGAAATCTACTTTGAATTACTTAAGTAATCAAAGTAAATTACTATTCCATAGTACACAATCTTTCCTACATTCACAACCTCTGTAATTTGATGTTCTTCAATATCTCTCTACTCAACTGAAATCTGGATCTCCCCTAAAAACTTAGGGTAGGAACTGCCCTTGTCTCAAAACCCACATGAAGGTGAATTCTGCATCTTTTTCACTCTGCAAGCTGCTTCTGGAACATCACTCTTTTCCACTCTCATGTAAAGTCCTGCATCATCTTGTGGGACTTCACGTCTACATTAAGGATACATAAAGTACCATGGCCTCTTAATTCATCACCTCTAGTCCAGCCACCACCACATGGCCACATCCTGTTTTGTAACAATGTTACTAAAGAAACCTTAAATTCCAACAACTGTCTCTGATCCCAATCTATTCTTCTCTGCTCTCACTCAGGTATTCTAGTGTTCTCAGTTCTCTGACCTTATTAGGAAATCCAATACCTCGTTCCCTCCATATTTTTCCAATCTGCCTGCTCTCTCCCACCTGGCAGAATAGCTTAGTGGTAATGTATGCCCCCAAAACTTAGACTTTCTGGGTTAAAGTCTTGGCTTCTCTACTTATAGCTGTGACCTTGGGCAACTTATTTACCCTTTCTACTTCAGTTTCCACATTTAGTCATTCAATACCTATTTCCTGAGTACCTTCTCAGTGCCAGTTCTAGGTGGTAGGAATCTGGCAGTGAACAAGAAAAAAAATCCCTGGAGTCTTCATTCTAATAAGGGGAAAAGTAGTATCATCTTCATGGGGTTATTAAAAACTTTAAATGAAATGTAAAACATAAAAGTGTTTAGACCAGTGCATAATACTGTAGCAAGTACTCAAACATCAGCTATTACTACATTTCACTTTTTTCCTTATCCAATTTAGATTCTCTGATGTTCTTTTCAGTAGTTTCTCATTGGATAAGCCTCAACTCTCAGGGAAACAGAGCAGGCCTCCCCAGCCACTGTGCGCCTTAAAATCATTATTATATTCTATGTGCGTTATGTCCTGAAAAGGGCTCTAAAGCACTGCTATTACCAGTCTTCACAACTCCTTTGCCCTACTGTTCTTCTACTGTATATCCATGGTGAAATACTATTTAACCCAACAATTTTGTGCGTGTGCCCACACTTGAGTACTGCAAAGGAAATGTCACAAAGATTTGTACAACTATACATTTGAGGTCATTAACGTCAAATGATCCATCATTGATTGCCATAAGCGTCTTTTATTTTTCCAGCTCCATCTCCCATTCTCAGTACTTCAAACCTTATTTCTTTCCTCTCAAACTTTTGACTCCTTCAGTTTAGATGCCTCTACTTCTGAGATGCTAACCTTAAGCCCCAAACCCTATCTTTTAGTTTGCTCCTTTTAAAATTTCCCACATCCCATTTACTCATAGTATATATCACATTATGTTATTATCCATATACCTATCTCTATCTCCACTAAACTATAACCCTAAAAGGACAGGAGTCATGTCATCTTTGAAACAGACTGTAGAACTTCCTTCCTAGATTTTTAGGTGTTTCCCCCCCAAATGGTAGAAAGGGGTCCACTTACTATCTAAAATACATGTAATACCTGAAGATCAAAATATTAACTGTGATGTTCTCGAAAGGATAGCTAGCTTTACAAAACAAACAAACAAATAAAATACTTGGACATATTCTACTCTTAAAGGTATGAAAATATATACATATAATTTAGCATAAGAAGTAATGTTTAGAGGCCAACAAAAGATCATTTTAGATTAAAAGCAAAACATGGAATGGTTTGACAGCTAAAACATAAACAAGCTATCATACTCCCAATACAAAGTTAAAATAAATCCAGTCTTTAATTTTTAAAGAGTTGAACTGAAGAGCAACTCTTTCCCCTTCACTAAAATTACAATAAACACATAGGTTTTATATATTAAATACAATGAAAATTTATCATACCTCTACATCTGAAACACTTCGGGGCTGAGCCTGGCATAGCATATTTAATAACTGCAAGATTAATTCTTCAACATACTGAAGAGCATCGTCACTAGACTCAAGAGTTGGATGAACTTGTCCCTGGACCTATAAACAAAAAGCAAAGGAATTAAAATTTAGGTTTGTTTCATCTAATTAAACAAACAAAACCAATAATTTTTTTTTATCCTCACCTGAGGATACTTTGCTTTTCAGAGAGTGGAAGGGAGGGAGGGGAAGGTAGAGAGAAAGAGAAACATCAATGTGAGAGAGACACATCAATTGGTTGCCTCCTGCACACGCCCCTCAAAGCCACAACCCTTCGGTGCGTGGGCCAATGCTTCACTGACGTACACCGGCCAGGGCCAAATAAATTTTTTTTTTTTTTTTACTGTGGGTTTGTACTCAAGAACATGGTATGGCTCACAAATACAAATTTGAGTGTTATGACACAGAAGTCAGGAGAGTCAGAAGTTCTCAACCTTTTCCCCAGCCACATGCACCATACATGCTTATTAACATGTTCCTGGAGGTCCACATATCTAATTGCATAATTTCAATATTTTTTTTCTTAAACCATAGTTACCCTGTGGGAATACAGAGAGGGTGGGAGAGGCTGAGCCGGGGATAGATACAGTTTATATGGTTTTTGTCAAGTACCAGTGGTAGCTGGAACATTTACTTAATATACCACTTGGGCAAAATTGAACTCCTATGGATCTCTGTCCCTTACTTAACTCTATCTTTCCTATTAAATGATAAAATACAAGAGGGATATTTCTTATCTTATTCATCATTGTAACTCCAGCATAATAATGCGCACATAATACAAGCTTGATAAATGTTTGTTGAACACAAAGTCACCCTATATCAAGGGACACAAAATGAGTACTTTTGATGATTTGTACTGTCTATACTTTAGGAAGATAATTTGGTGGTCACTCATTCATAAACACTTAATAATCTTTACCTTTATTTTTTTATTATTTCTTTGGAGGCACCTCAGGCCACTGGCCTCTGTAAAACTTACATTTTAATAACCAGCATAATATTTACTTGCATCCCTATGGGTCAACATTTTTCCTCCTTTTAAAAAAATGGCTGAAAATCAGTTCCAGGGACAATACATGTTTCTAAATATGTTCGTCTCTATAAGGGAAGTAGAGCACTCATGGGATGAAAGTGTATAGCACTCACTGGCCAAGGACACTTAGTATGGTATTCTTCTTTAAAAAGTACTGAGTACATATATATACAAATATATCCATATCTATGTACTTTTCATGTATATTTTTAAAACTCATTATATGATACACTGTTTATAAAAATCTCCTCATATACAGAGGCTGTCAATCTTCCTTCACCCCTCAAATGTGGATTTTATCCTTGACTGTCTTCTCCCTTTTTCTCTTTCCCCAAGTAATCTCATTTTCTTCCACATTTTGAACTATCACCTGTGTGGGTGATTCCAAATCTATTAGTTCTGACTTCTCTCCCAAGTTTTAGAACACTTCAAGTAACTTGCTAGATATCAACACCTATCCAACCAAAACCTCAAATATAACATAGAAAAAAAGTTGAACAAGAAAAGCTGTATCTCACATAGAACTGTGTCTCACAAATGTGGTGTGTGTGTGTGTGTGATGTGTGAAAAACACAGTAAAGACTGCCCCTGATTTCACTAAGATGTAGTCCTGGAAAATAAGCTCTAATTGGGGGTTACATTCCTGTCCAAGGCTCCAGCATCACAAACAATAGCTACAGATTTACAAAACCACGTATTAGAAATAAAAGGGTCTTTAGAACTCATTTAACTCAGTCCCTCTATTTAGCAGATGAGAAAAAAAGGAGACACCACAATCCTATAGCTAACTGATAATACTTTACGTACTGAACCTCGGCTTCCTGGCATGTAGGCCAGAACTCTTTCCATGAAAATGCTGACTTTCAAGCCTGAAGGAGTCTTGGGAGTGTCCTAACACCCCTTCAGCATAAGGAGCAGAATGCCCATGAATTGTGTCTACTTATATAGTGGGCTTCTACATAAAACTTGGCTTGAAATATGTTGTCATAATTAAACACTGGCATGTCATAAATGCAAACAGCACTATAATCTTTAGAATCTAAAAAGGTAAAGGCTCCGAGCAAGATGGCGGCATAGGTAAACACCGGAGACTGCTGCCGCAAACAACCACTTCAAAAATACAACTAAAAGACGGAACGGACATCACCCAGAACCACAGGAAGGCTGGCTGAGGAGAGACTCTTCAACTAGAAGGAAAAATAACAGCACACCGAGGCTCAGAGGAGGCGCAGTGTGGAAAAAACTCAGGTGCGGAGGTGCGCGCGCAAAGCGGGCTGGTGGCTGAGAGCGCGGTTGTCGTTTTCGGTCAGGGGGGAGTCTCAGACTCTGAGCTCCAGATACGGGCGAATCGCTGGGGACTCGGACCCAAACGGGAGAAGCGGGAGTGTCTGGCATCAGTTGGAAGGCAGCTTTCCCTCCGAGGTTTGCAGCGGTTCCGGGGGTTCTGAGAAGCAGAGCCTCTGGGAACAGGACTGAGGGCACCATAACGGCTCCCTCCGCCCGCCCTGTTGAGCCCGCCCCGCCCAAGCCCTGCGCAGAGCCATTTGCCGGATCGCCGCAGGCAAAGGCTAGATTAGCGCCCCCCCAGAGGACAGAAGTTTTCCCACTGCAGCAGACACAGCTGATTCTCACAGCCAGTCGGCCTGGTGGTCAAATCCCTCTAGTATTAACTACAACAATCAAGGCTCAACTAGAACAAGACTGCGCACAAAGACCACTAGGGGGTGCACCAAGAAAGCATAAAAAATGCGGAGACAAAAAAACATGACAGAAATGGAGGATATAGAGCTAAAAAACGCAATTTTGAGGGCTTGCAATAAACTTCTGGAGAGCCTCACGAAAACTAATGAGACCCTCGATGCTATGATAAAGAAACAACTAGAAATTAAGCATACACGGTCGGAAATAAAGAATATTACACCCAATAGCAGACCAGAGGAGCGCAAGAATCAAGCCAAAGATTTGAAATGCGAAGAAGCAAAAAACACCCAACCGGAAAAGCAAAATGAAAAAAGAATCCGAAAATACGAAGATAGTGTAAGGAGCCTCTGGGACAGCTTCAAGCGTACCAACATCAGAATAATAGGGGTGCCAGAAGATGAGAGACAGCAAGATATTGAAAACCTATTTGAAGAAATAATGGCAGAAAACTTCCCCCACCTGGTGAAAGAAATGGACTTACAGGTCCAAGAAGCGCAGAGAACCCCAAACAAAAGGAATCCAAAGAGGACCACACCAAGACACATCATAATTAAAATGCCAAGAGCAAAAGACAAAGAGAGAATCTTAAAAGCAGCAAGAGAAAGAGACTCAATTACCTACAAGGGAATACCCATACGACTGTCAGCTGATTTCTCAACAGAAACTTTGCAGGCCAGAAGGGAATGGCAAGAAATATTCAAAGTGATGAATACCAAGAACCTACAACCAAGATTACTTTATCCAGCAAAGCTATCATTCAGAATTGAAGGTCAGATAAAGAGCTTCACAGATAAGGAAAAGCTAAAGGAGTTCATCACCACTAAACCAGTATTATACGAAATGCTGAAAGGTATCCTTTAAGAAGAGGAAGAAGAAAAAGGTAAAGATACAAATTGTGAACAACAAACATGCATCTATCAACAAGTGAATCTAAGAATCAAGTGAATAAATAATCTGATGTACAGAATGAACTGGTGATTATAATGAATCAGGGACATAGAAAGGGAATGGACTGACTATTCTTGGGTAAAGATTTAATAAAAAAAAAATAAAAAAATAAAAATAAAAAGGTAAAGGGATCATTTTTTAGCCATTTTTACACAAAGGATCACAATGCATTATATGAAATTAAATTCTTCATTAATATGGCTCCATTCCAAGCTGCTTTTCAATTTACATTTTATGCTGAAGCAATAAATTTTCAGCTTGCTGAAACATGGCGTGCAGTTTCATTCACACTTACCCTTTCAGTTACCTATTTGACTTTCAAAACCCAGATCCTACCTCAGCTGGGAAGACAGCCTTGTTTCTTACATTTTTCTAAGTCAGAATTAATCTCATTCATTTAACTGATTTACTAAATCTATTAAATATCAGATATTCTATTAGATGAAGGCTATATAAGCACATCTCATTTTATTGTGCTTCACTTTATCACACTTTTTATATATTGTGTTTTTTACAAACTGAAGGTGTGTGGCAACTCTGCTTTGAGCCAGCCTATCAGTGGCATTTTCCAACAGCATTTGCTCACTTCGTGTCTGTGTGTTATATTTTGGTAATTCTCACAACATTTCAAACTTTTTATTATTATTATATTTGTTATGGTGGTCTGTGATCAGTGATCTTTGATATCACTATGTAATTGTTTTGGGGCACCACGAACCACACCAATAGAAGATGTTGAACTTAATCAATGTGTGTTCTGACTGCTCACTAATGGGCCATTCCTGGTTTCTCTCCCTCTCCTTGGGCCTCCTTATTCTTTTATTAAAATATATTTTTATTGATTTCGGAGAAGAAGGGAGAGAGGGGGAGAGAGAGGGGGGGAGGGAGGGAGGGAGAAAAGAAGGAAGAAAGGAAGGAAGGAAGGAAGGAAGGAAGGAAGGAAGGAAGGAAGGAAGGAAGGGTCATATCCATGAGGATCGAGCCCGAAACCCAGACCAGGAATCAAACCATGACCTCCTGGTTCATAGGTTGATGCTCAACCACTGAACCAAGCTGGCTGGGCTGGGCCTCCTTATTCTTTAGACACATCAATATTGAAATAAGGCCAATTAATAACCCTACAATGACCTCTAAGTGTTTATGTGAAAGGAAGAGTCGCATCTCTCTCACTTTAAATCAAAATCTAGAAATGACTAAGCTTAGTGAGAAAAGCATGTCAAAAGTCAAGACAGGCAAAAAGCTAGGCCTCTCTCTCATGCCAGTTAGCCAAGTTATGGATGCAAATGAAAAGTTCTTGAAGGAAATTAAAAGTGCTACTCCAGTGAACACACAAATGAAAAAAAAAAAACGAAACAGCTTTCTTGCTGATCTAAAG